TGAAATCCCATTCGGCCAAACGAATGATCGGTGATAATTGAGGAAAAACTATTAATCATTGTCTTATTCGCTTGTCTCGACTGTATTTTAATTTTGAAAGTTCAAAGTTCAAACATGTTGGAAATATGATTCATACATTTTCTTTCGAAATATATAAAAATAAAAGTATAGTAAAATTTAATTTCATCATTCACACAAATAATTACTATCTATTAGATACAAAATACAAAGTATTGAACAATTATTCAAGAAATGATAGCACCAAAAAAAAAAATATTCAAGAAATGATTTTTTTTTTTGTTTGTTTGTACAATTCTTCGCTGAGCTACGTTTGATACATACATTTGCAACAGGCTAAAGGCAATATTTGATATATGTTGATGTTGTTGTCTGTCAATTATTTTTGCTAGTAAATTGGACAAAGATAAGATGCATGTCTCCTCGTTTTTGTAACAAAATTCATCATAGCAAAATTCAGCCCCTCGAAATTCAAACCCAAGTTGTCCTATAGGGCTCAATAAAGTACATAAATGGGCCTGCGCGAATTCTCAAATCTCAACGACGTCGTGGAATATCATATAAAAAGTGCCAGTTGTCAAGGGTAATATCGTCATTTACTAAGTTTGGTTTTCCTTCTTCTACTTGATGCGATTGAGTCGAGAGGTGTGTCGTCTCAGAGTTATTTTCCCAGATGATATATCTGTTGAGTGTTTTTTTTTTCTAAACGACTAAATTTTTTTGAATTCGAAATTTATCAACGGATACTTTTGCTTCTCTATAAATGTATACATGGGTTTGTTTGTTTCAATTCTTTCACAAAAAAAAAATATACAAAAAATTATTTTGCTTAATCTCTGTTTTGTTCTTCTTTTACAAAAGTTTCTGTGTCTTCGTCTGTTCCTTTCTTCTCATGAAGTTTCTGTGTCTTCGTCTGTTCCTTTCTTCTCACGATGTTTTTTTGTTAGTTGATTTTTTTTTTCAAAAATTGAAACTACTATTTATTACAGATTCTAAGAAATGTCATGAATATAATTTTACTACAAACAATTTAATTAATATGATCCTTATTTAGACAATATTTTTTGGTTTTGTTTTTTTAATCAAACCGATTAGTATTATCATCTTAGACTCCAAACTAGGAGGAAAGGTTCAAAGATATAATACCAAATTTTGCTAACGTATCGGCTAAAACATTTTCCGAGCGAGGAATGAAAACAAAAGAGATAGAAGTGAAATCTTCCCTAATCCGACGAATGTCATGAAGAAGAGATTTCAACTCATTGACCACACCATTCGAATTGATAAGTGTCACCAAAAAGAGAGAATCCGAGAAACAGTTAATGACTCGATACCCTGCCGTTCTAGCTGCAATTAAGGCATCTTTAAGAGCTATAACCTCTGCGATTAGAGCCGAGGCCACGTTTGATCTGGATAAAGAAGATTGGGCTATTGTCTTCAAGCTTCCATCCTTGAAGCACCAACCCGCTCCACATTCCTTTGATTCGGCTATCCAAGATGCATCCGTAAAACAGTGAATTGCTTGTGAGGCTAGCATCATAGACCGAGGAGCCGCTTTTAATGGCCTGCCCTTTACCATCAGAGCTTGTGCCTCCTGCCATAGGCGAGCTTCCTTGATCGATCTTAGCAAGACTTCTTAGGCTGAGACACGCCTATCGTCAAACAATAATTGGTTCCTAGTCTTCCATAAGTTCCAAATAAGCCATGGAAACAAAGAAGTGTCGGATAAGCCCGTAGGAGGGAGGTTGATGTGTCGCCAGGCAGCCTCTAGGAATTGGTTGATGGTGAGTTGGACATTAAGGTCCGGTTTGAACAGAACCGGTATCAAGTCCCACACCTTCGCTGCAAAAGGACAAGACAGAATGATATGCATTTCATCTTCTATCGCATCACAAAATTTGCAAGAATAGCATCAGATATGCCCCGGACCATTAAGTTACTCCCCACCGCCATCGCTTTATTCTTAAGTTTTCAGAGGAAAGTCTTAAGTTTAGGAGCGGTTTTAACTTTCCATACACATACTTTCCAATCAAAGGACTCAACTATGTTCGGTTCTTTATTGATTTTGGCAATAGCATAACCTGATTTTGTAGAGTAACTCCCTGATTTGACAAGTAACCAAGCAATCGAATCTTCCATAGGGTAAGTGCTGAGTTCGATACTTGTGATAAATCCTCATAGTGAGGTAAGTAGCTTCGGATGGCATCTAAATTCCAGGTGTTAGAGCATGTGTGAATCAAATCCTCCACTCGCAAATTAATTGCGTTTAGAGGAAGGGGACCATAAGGACGCATCGATGACGATGACGAAAGCCATGCATCATCCCAAACCTTATATTTCTTCCATTCCCCACTAGCCAACCAATCCCTTGTTTTAGTACCTCACGTCCGGCCAATATTCCAGTCCAACCGTGAGAAGCGTTAGAAGAGGGCAGACTATCCAGGAAAGTAGTGGAAGGGA